GGGGGGCAGCCGAGATGGTGGCGGGCAGCCGGGATGCTGGGGGGCAGCCGAGATGGTGGCGGGCAGCCGGGATGCTGGGGGCAGGTGGGATTCTAGAGGGGCTGCTGGGATGCTGGGGGGGCAGGTGGGATTCTGGAGGGGCTGCTGGGATGCTGGGGGGCAGCCGAGATGGTGGGGGGCAGCCGAGATGGTGGCGGGCAGCCGGGATGCTGGGAGGCAGGTGGGATTCTGGAGGGGCTGCTGAGAGGGCAGCCCCGTGCCATGGAATGAACTATGTGCTCTGAACGGGACAAGCCTTGTCTGGCAGGGAGGTGTTCCTGGGCAAGAGGAGAGTGGAGGCCAGACCACACAGGGCCTGAGGCTGCCAGGGGCTGCCCCCACCCTGGGGCCGTCGTCCGTGGGTCTGGTTTCCACGGACAGTGCAGGGCCTGGGGTCCCAGCGACACATCGGGGTGCCGGCCATGACTGCCAGGGTCCCGGTTCGCAGGGCCTGGCAGCTTCGGCAGCCTCCATCCTGTCCACCTGCCCCCCCCCCCCAGCTGCGCCTGGAGGCCCTGCCTGAGCTCTCGAGGATGGGGCAAGTCGCCACCTGAACTCAGGGCCCCCAGTTCACACAGCCCTCTGCGTGCAGGGACACCCGGCATGCCTTCCGCCCACCCAGACTCCAGATGTCATCGGGGCCTCTCAAAACCCAAGAGCCAAGCTCCCGGTACCAGAGTGACCACCCCAAGCCACTCGGGGCGCTTCATGGGCCGAACTGTTTGCCCCCCAATTTCACATGTGGGAGCCCCAACCCCCAAGCACCTTGGAATGTGACTACATTTGGAGATGGGCTCGTTAAGGAGACAGTTGGGTAAACTGAGGTAACTGGGATGAGGCCCTGGTCCTGTAGGGTCAGTGTCCTTGTAAGAAGAGACGCCAGAGAGCCCCCACCCCCCGTGTGAGGACACAGAGAGGGCACGCTTGCAAGGGGGAAGGGCGTCCTCGCTGAAAGGACCATCCCGGCCCCTGATCTCCGACTTCCGGGCTCCGGGCCGTGGGGGATAAATGCTGTTTAAGCCACACGTCTGGGTGACTTTGCTGCGGCCGCCCCAGGACACTCGGACGTGCTCCGTGCGGCCCAGGACTCATCATGTGATACCCTCAAACGAAGAGACATGTCCCACGCTCCCCGCTTTTCCCCAGCTGCTGGCCGCTGGGACCTGAGGCCGCCCAGCGGGAAGGACAGTCCCCACCCTGGGAAGCAGGTGCAGGTGAGAAGCATCACCCACGTCTCACCTGCAGAGGAGGTGGACCCCCTCCCCCGGCCTGTACCGGGGCCACTGGCGCAGGGCTTCAGAGACATTCCTCGCCAGGACAGTGGCGGCTGACACACTGCCCGGGTGCAGGAGGAGCCTTCTCCGGGCTGCAGCCCCCAGGGCCTCGGCACGGGCCAGGCCAGCACCTTCGGCTGCTCCCATGGGCGCCCAGGACCGGGGGAGAGTTCTGTCACCCAAAGGCTGTCAGCGTCACCATCCTGCTTTTGGACAGTGAGCACGTCCCTGCTTTTACACGAGAAAGCGTAGCCTATCAGGACGATGAAAGCGATATGCTGGGCCAGCGAGCGGTTCCACGGTGCGACCATCTCCACGGACGCGGGAGAGAGCTGCCCGCAGTCAACACCCTCACGTCAGACTCGGAGAATGCCGCCGGTCAAGAGAAGACCCACTGCCCGCCAGCCCGAGGCCGGCACCCTTCCTCACGAGAAGCCCCGGGAGCGCACCCAGCCCGCAAGGCCGGGGGCCCGGCAGCCGCGACGGCCACCACGCCGACCCCCACTGGGCCCCGCGAGCCACACACGCCTCTGCCGGCCGCGACCCCACGTCCAGAGAGAGCCACCAACAGCTTTCATACGTACAAGGGGGCCGCGAGCGAGCGCGACCTCCAGAAAACACGGAGGCGGCGGCAGCTGTGGCCTGCGCGGTCCGAGCACCCATCTGTGACGGTAGCCGACAGTGACCACTGTCGCCGTCACCAGGGACAGCCGTCACCGCCGCGGTCGGAAGCCCCCATCGCGAACCTGTGCGCCTGGCAGACGGGTGCGCGACGGTCGTGGACGGGAGACCTCACCAGACCAGACCGAGGGCAGTCTCCCCACGCTCGTCCCCCAGCTGCCCCCAGACTTCTCTGAACGCTAGGCAGCTGGGCGGCAGAGGTCGCTGGGAAGACCACACGAGTGAGGACGGTCTGCCACGGGGACGCTACGTCATGAGATAGGACAGACCTCAGCACACAGTCACGGAAGCTGCGCGGCCCTGGGGGAGAAGTCGGACCAGGGGGACGGAGCAGCAGAGCCTCCACGAGGGTCTATGCGCCCCCGGGCTCTGGTTTACCATGAAAACGGCACCTCGAGGCAGGGCGGGAAGACGCAGGTCTGTGGACGGGGCCAAGCAGGCGGCCAGAGGCGCGGGGTGGGGCGAGACCCCCACGGGGTCGGCGTACCGGCCTCAACCCAGGTCAGGAGTCACCCCCCCCCACCCAGGCCACCGGGCAGGCTTGGCGAGCCGTGCGGACAGGTCCTCCTGTCCTCCTTTTCCAGCGCAGCTCGGAGCCCCCTCCTCCAGGAAGCCCTCCCAGACCACCAGTCCCAGCCTGACGGCGGTCTTCCCGGCAAGTGTGGGGGTCTCTACGCCTCCGGTCCCCGGCTGCTGGCCGGCAGGGTGGGAAGGACATCAGTCCGGGGTCACCGTGCGGGCGGGAGAGGCCCAGAGCAGCTCACTCCATGCCATGGCCCGCTCGCCTGGCAGACCAGAGCCCCGGCGGCTGGGGCAGCGGTCCAGCCCCTCGCATGGCTACGTACCATCCAGAAGAGGGTCCCTGTGGCCAGGGCGACATACTGCTCGATGGTGGACAGCACGCTGAAGATGAGGCAGACCAGGACGATGAGGAAGCTGCAGGGCGGGAAGACACGGTGGTCAGCTCCGCGGCCAGCCCGCCCGCTCCCTCCCGCCCAGACACAAGCCTAGGCCCGGGGACCGGAGGGGCTGCCCACCACCCCCCGCCCAGTGGGGCCACGCCCCTTCCCTCCCCCCGTCTCAGAACTCCAAGTGCCACCCAGCCCGAGGCCCACCGGCCGGGGACCAGGCGCATGGAGCGGGGCGTGGTCAGCCAGCCGTAAAGGACGAGGCCCGGGCCCCCGCTACAGCGGGACAGACCCCGAAACATGGGCGTCGAGAAGCCACGCTTATAGACCACGTGTCGCGTGACTCCGTTTACGTGAAGCGTCCACCATGGGAGGCCCACGGGCACGGAAGGACGACCGGGCCCAAGTCCCATCTGCGCACGGACCCCGCCGGCCCCCAGGAAGGGACGTCAGGAGGGGTTCACCCCCGAGCTCCTGGGCAGAGGTCACGGGGAGGCCCCTGTGCAGACAGCTGCGGCGGAGACTGGGCGGGGGGGGGGGGGGGGGCCCCGCCTGAGGAGCCCCTCCTGGGACGGCCACCGGGGGTTCTCCACCGAGGGCGGGGGGACGGGGGACGCCCCCCCAAGTGTCGTGCTTCCCCAGCCCCGCTGCGTCCTGAAGGCTAAACGGTCAGTCAGGTGTCGTGACACACACAGTGTGCTTCGTGTCTACTCTGTCCTGTCCCGGGTGGGCCTGCGGGCCCCAGAGACCCTGAGGCGGGGTCCCTGCCCTCGGGGGGGCTCAGGACCTCCTGCCTCCACGGGGCTGAGACCACGGCTCCGGCCCAGTCCGCCGCCTATGCGTCCCGAGAGCTGGGACACGAGGACCAGGAAGAGAAGGATCTGACCCGTTTTCTGGGTCAGGGTGCGGGAGTAGGGCGGGGTGCAGAAGAGGCGCCAGCCCCCCGAGGCCACGTCGGCCCCGAGGGACAGTGCCCTGCTTGTGCCGCTGGCCAGGGGCCGGGACCGCAAGCACCAGGGACGTCCTGAATCTTATCGGTCATCATCTCTGTACCTGCGGCGGCCAGGTGCCCTGGGAACACGGAAGAATGCGGGAGGCCTGCCAGGGCCGCCGTCCAAGACAGCGGGAGGGCGCTCCAGGGTGCGGGGGCAGGACGCAGGCGGGGAGCTGAGTCGGGGGTGTGCCCAGACCCCCGGGAGGCGCTGTGAACCCACGGCGAGGTCTCTCCAGCCCACCCTGAGGCACCTTTCCACCCTGGGATGCTTCCGGTGAAGGTCAGAATCATACACGCAGACCACACTCGTGCAGAAAGCACAGGCTGTTCCCGGAGCCCTCGGAGCCCCAACACCAAAGAGCGTGGCCGCCGGGCTTACCCTGGGGTCTAAGCTAGAATTCGGGGAGGCTGAAACATAGCGGTGGATCACAGCAGAGCACGGGCGCCGGGGCTGGGGGGGGGGGGGGGCGGGGGGGTCCGTGTTTCACAGGGACAGAGTTTCTGTTTGGGAAGACGGAAAGTTCTGGAGACGGAATGTGCTTCATGTCCCTGAACTGTGTACCTGACACGGTTAAGATGATAAATTTTGTGTGTATTTTACCACAATTTTCAAAAAGGAAAGGGAATGACATTCGTGGGCAGCAGCTGACGGAGGGAGCCTAACAAAGGCTGGTGGTGAGGCATGACAGGGGTCCGGACCCCCCGCCCGGGCTAGGACAGGACCTTCCAGGCAGATAAACCAAGGGCTCGTCAAGGGACCTCAAGCCCGGGGCCAGACGGGGTTTTGAACGTGTGATTCAACAGATTAGGTGCTGACGTTTTAAACCCCAAATCGTATCAGAGAGGCTTCAGTTTGTCTAAAAGTCGCCCTGGAAGGTTCCAAAGACCCCGGAACACACGAGGGCAGGTGCCCTGCCGTGGAGCCGATGAGCTCAGCGCCCCGGGCCACGACATCCACCCGACATCGGACTCCCACGGCGGCGGCCTCCGGTCCTGCATGGCTGTGCCCCGGGTCCCCTCGCAGGCCCAGCCCTTGCGTGGCACTGTTCCCTCTAAACCCCGCGCGGAAGGTGACCCGTCATCCCACGTGAGGAGGCGGGGCCTTGGGGCGCGGTTCAACGGGCCCTCCAAGGGCTTCCAGGCTGTGGAGCTGGCCCTCCGTCCCAGGCGCCCTGGACATCCCAGAGGGGAGTCACAGCCACTGATGGGACCCCCGAGGCTATGAGTCAGCAGGAGCACGTCAAAGGCCACAGCGACCATGAGCCCAAGCTGGCCGACCCCAGGATCCCCCCAGCCCCGGCTTCAGGCCAAGACTGAACCCCCCACTGGGGCATGTGGCAGCCACAGACCCCGGGGCAGGAATGCCACATTGTGCGTGGACGCAGCTCAGCCCTGGTGGGGGCTCACCCTGAGCAGGGAGGGGTGGGGTGAGGGGGGCCGTATCCTTTCCCGGCTTCTGGGGCCCCAGGCATCGCCCTGGGCTGGTGGCTGTGCGGTCACGTGGCCCTGCTGTTAGTTTCTCGTGCATGGGGACGCCCGTCACCGTGTGCAGGGCCCGCCCAAGCACGCGGGATGGCCACGGCCTCTCAGGACACTGAGCTCCGTCCCACCTGCAAAGGTGCTTCTGCGTGAGGTCTCATCCTTATGCTCCAAGGGACCAGACATCTGTGGGGGCCCCCAGCTCGGCCCCTGCACTCGTAATGGCCGTTTGCCAAGCCAACAAGTTACTCGTGACGATAATAACTGCGGAAACCTCCGTGAGTTTCTAAAAACTGGCATTAGTACTGGGTACAAACATTGGTAGCGGTTTTTCAAACATAATTCGAAATACGTCCTTTTCGTCTTTTCCTTTTTTGTTACCGAACTGCGCCCGCGAAGGCCCTCTCGCCACGTGAGGTCACGTTCTCGGGTCCCGGGTCGGGACGTGGACACGTCTCCTCGGGGTCCCCCTCGGGCACACTGCACCGTACGACCCCCTCAGGTCTGGGAGACAAATGAGCAGGAGGGGCAGAGGACAGCCCCCAGGGGAGACCGAGTCCCTCCCTCCCGGCCCGCCCCCCCCGGGCCCCCCGGGCACCCCCCCCTGGGGGCCCCGTGCCCCCCCCCCCCCCCTGGCTGCCCCCCCCCACCGGGCACCAGCACGCAGCCACGCCTCCCCGCACCCCCACACGGCCCCGACCTGCCACCAGGGACTGTCCGGAGGCTCGTCTCCTTAAAAGGTTTGCCCCGGGGACTCGACCCACAACCCCAAGGACCACACGACAGGCGGCTGGGCCCGCGGAGGTGTGGCTCCTGGGTCATCGTCTCCCCAAAGGCCCCACTGCACAGACTCCAGACCGCCAGGCAAGAAGTTTACCAGAAGATTAAAACCTGTGTCCCCATCGCTGGGGACCCCAGACACATGGACCCTCCCGCCTCGTGTTCCAGCCGGGCCCTCGCAGGGCGCCTATGCACACGGCACCGGCCCGGGGTCACCGCGGCCAGAACCCGCAGCCCAGCCCCCGCCGGTCTCCCCACCTCAGCGGTTCAGTCCCCACTGGGGAGCCGGGGGGCCCTGGGGAGATGCAAGCCTGCCAGCTCCCTCCCAACTGAAGACCCTCCAGATGAAGCCTGAACTCCAGGCCCATCTTCCTGGGTCACCCCCTGCCCCACAGGCCTGAGCCCCCCTGCAGGGAGGCCTCCAGACACCCCCGCCGGGCCCGTGGCCCCTGCCACACCCCCATCACAGCACTGACCGCCCCCTGCCTCCTCAGGTGGGGCCCCATCTGAAGGCCCAGCGCGAGGCCTGGTACACAAACGTCTGTTGAACCGGCCGAACGCAGCTTTAGGTTCAGGTCAGGGGCTCAGTGAACAGAATTCTCAGGGCCGCCTCCTCCACGCAGGCCTCCAGGGTGTGTCAAGACGTGAGGTCCTCGTGCTCCATTCCGTCCCTCCTTGCCTCACCCCCACAGGCTCAGCAGGGCCCTACAGGGCCCCCGGTGGCCGCACGGAGGCAGCTCTCCACACACCCAGCCTGCGTGCCAACGGTGCCAGGCACAGAGGGGCCTGGGGGTGGGCAGGGGGTAGCTCTGGCATGAGCCCGGAGCAGGCAGGGCCGCCCCAGCTGCTGGGCGCACACGTGGGCCGGAGGCGCGGGGCAAGGGTCCCGAGGCGGCAGGGAGGGCCGCGCCCGGGGACCACAGGAGACACCAGGCCAGCCCAGCACCCATGCTGCCAGCCCCCCGGCCTTCTCAGAGCCGGACGAGGCACTGCCCCGTGCCCGCTATTCCTGGTGCCCGCGGAGGCTCGGCAAAGCCACCGCGCAGGCGGTGGCAGGCTGGGGTTCGGCCCGCACCCTCTCCTCCCGGCCTCTCCCCGAAACAGGGATGTCACAGGCACACGGGGACACCTGGAGCCCAGGGATGGGGTTGCGCTCTTCCGGGAAGGCCCATGACAGCTCCGTGCCACAAGGACAGAGAATCTGTCCCCCTTGAGATGGGGGGACAGAGAGGGGCTACTCACCCCGCTGGCCCCGCTCAGAACCCCGACCACCAGGTACAGAAACGGGGCTCCCTGGCCGGAGGCACTTCAGGCCTATCTTGGCCGACCCCCAGACACGCCGCTGCACCCCCGGAGGTGGTGACGGTGGGAGACCCAGCTGCCCCCACACCGGCCGTGTGTCTGGATGGCCCCGCGGGGCCGTGAGGGCCCGAGCTGACGGCTGTGCTCATGTCCCTTCGCTGCCCACACCCGCCGCAGCGCAGAGACCTCGAGTGTGCGAGGGGGGCATGGGGTCTCCCACTGTCACCCCGTGAAGGGCCACGCCGACTGGGGGTGGCTCGGGGGCAGAGACTCTGGCTGTGAGCTTAACCGTGCCACCCAAGCTGTCATTCCAAAGCCTTCGGGGGGCCCTAGAGGGGCTGCTCAGGGGGCTCCCCGGTGTGCGTGCGTGTGTGCACACGTGACTCGGAGGCACGTACACGACCAGGGCACACGGCAGGCACGTCCCAACGTCGGGCCGCGGGTGACTGAGCTGGGAGCCTCCGGCCCCGGGCCGGCGCCCATCAGACAATAGGGACACACACCCACGGAGCTGAGACCCACATCCTCTCCCCTGTCAGGCCCCCCCAGCAGCCCCCCAAGTGCCCGGTGGGTCTGAGGCCCCAGCACGGAGGGCGGGCGGCCATGAGCTGCATAAAGCCTGCTTCCTCCTGTGCACTCCAGTCCTCACGGGAAGCCTGAGAAGCAGGGCTATCTCTCATCACAGGAGGAGGGAAGCTCAGAGAGGGCGAGAAATGGCCCACAGTCACACAGCACCAAAGCCAGCGA